CTCAGCGGTTCCTCCGTGCGCAGTTCGCGTCTAGCGTCGATTATTTATTGTCGTTTTAAGTTTTAATCGGTTACTTTCGCCGCTAGTGTCGATTATTTACTGTCGTTCTAAATTGCAGTTGATGACTTTATTATTGCTGGCGCTGAGGAGGAAGAGGGCATTTGAAGCGCCCTCTGGCCCACGTCGGTTGTCTCGGAGCCGCCTCAGGCCGGCGGGGCCCGGTGCGGTGTGGGGAGCGCTCGCGCTGCTGCCCCACCACGGCAGCCCCCGGAGCAACACCCGGGAGCTACAAGCGCTTCTCCGGTCACGCAGAGATAACACAGCCTTAGCCAAGGTCACGGCGGTGCAGAGACTCCTGAGGGGGAAGAATTCATGGCACAAGCGGGTCAGACAGACCTCTCTGAAGGACAGAAAAACGCATTACTAAATGACCGCCACTAGAACACCGTGTTTTGTTTACAACATCTTGTTTACTCAACACAGCAAGCCAAAATACTAACTGTTAAGGTATGCACAGAATTATTAACTGTGATCAGAAAAAAGTAGATGTATTTCTGATGCAACGCCTTGTTTGCATTTCATTTATTTTGTTATGACAGGACATGGTTACATGTATGGACAGGGGAGAGGAAAAACCTCTAATGTGAACATGTGCACAAGACGAGGGTTTGTTCACAAAGCTTACTGAAACATTGCAGCCACTGGACAGAACATGCTGGTGGCCTGTCACACAACACAACTCCCTCTCATGTTTACATGCACGACCAAAATAACTCGGAACCTGCTCCCACAGAAGATACAGATCAACAGATCAGTCTGTTTCCCCTTTGGCACACAGAGAAGTGCTCATGAGGGAAATACCCACACATACACCTGATCGTGCCTGTAACAAGTAGTAACAGGAAAGTGCACGGTAGACATTGTACACAGCCAACCCCTCACGTAGCTGATCAATAAAACCCCAAATGGGCTGGTGCACTTACAGACACAGGGAAGGAAAGCGAACTGACATAAAAACTATTGTCTCAGATTTTAGAGCCAGCCAGATTCTGAAGCATTTGGGCCAGACTTCTGGACTCAGAGCAAGAACTTGGAACAGCACTTCTGAAACTCAAAGGAAAGAGTGATACAGACAGGAGTAAGAACTACTGCTTTTTGCTAGTTGTAAGTACCATTATCTCATATTAACAACTGAAATCATTCTTTATTCATATCATGTTAAGTGGAAGAAACATGTACCAGCCAAAGACAGACTGCATCACAGGGTGCTCGATGCTCATGATGAAACTAAAATGACCTTTGACAAAGCACAAACACACTCCTGAAAACACACATCATTACTGTGTTACCGTGTCACAGAACCAGGGTATGAGACCTCTAGGTCTAAGCCATTGCTAGTTAGACAGAAATGCCTGCTTTTCAAAATTAGCATTGAAACTGTGATTACCCAACAGCACACAGCTGAATTTCACACAAGTACATATAGCAAAGATCAGTAAAAAAATGAAGGCAAATGTTATGATGCAACTAACAGGACTAAACTTACCAAATACAGGTGCAAAACATTGGTATGACAGAAAAAAACCCCACCATTAGAAGAAAGAAGTTTATAAAAATTCAGAACTTGATAAAACTAAAAGCAAGTCCTTTTCATAGGACTATCCAGTTACAAATAAACTGCAAGGCAATACTGTTTGTTTCTTTCTCTTTTATGAACTCTCTGTTTGCAAGAGACAACTTGAAAGGTTCCTTGATTAGTTTTTGTTTGTTGTGTGTCCTTAAATGTCACAGACTTGAGTATGAAAACACACCTTCTTTCTGTTGGAAGATCTAGCAAATTTTGGGCAAGGAAGGAGACGATTTCACCATGAATGATCCAGGAACTGGATGGGAACAACTGACTTGCTGAATAAATAAAAATGCTCCCTTCCCTCAGCTGTTGTCACCAACACCATGGCTCAGGCTTCAGCTTATTGCAGTATCAGTAATAGTCTGAAAGTCAGCAGCGCCTGCCCTTGAAACAAGGAATATAAAACATTATTGGGAGACCAGGATATGCTCAATATAATAGAAGATAAGCATGAAATAAATTCCTGTATTTTGCAGTTTACTTTCAGCTAGGAAACACCTTTTTTTCACTGACAGCGATAGCAACCTTAACAGAGCAGGCAGGTTTCCTGCTCCAAGGCCTTGGTCTTGGATCACCAGCCACCTGTTGGTGCTTCTCTCCCTTAGATGGGGATCTGGAACTGGAATTGCATCTAGAATTTCACTAGCCATGAGCTTTTTGTGGAGTCTGACTCCACAACTGCCCAGCTATCAATCATAGTCTATTTTAACTTTTGTAATAGTGTTCAGGTTTGGCTTTTCGCTGCTGCTCCTCCCATGAACAGAAGTCAAATGCTTTTTAAGAGCAGACTTGTGTTTAAAGTCCATGTCGCAGCAGTGGCACTTGTAGGGCCTGTCCCCGCTGTGGATGTTGAGGTGATCCTGAAGCGTGCTCTTGGCTGTGAAGGTCTTCAAGCACACCATGCACTGGAAGGGCCGGATCCCCATGTGCCCCCGGATGTGCCTGTTGAGATTCTTTTTTTGTGTAAATGTTTTGCCACATTGCAAACACAGGAAGAGTTTGTGCATTTTCAGATGTCTGAGATAGTTCTCGAGGTGCAGAAAGCCCCTTGGACACTTTGGACACTGGTGTCGCCATGAGCTGCCAGAATCCTCCATGCTCTGGAACCCATTCACCCCACTAGAAGTTCCTTCTGGATTGTCACCAACAAAAGCCTGAAAGTGATTTCCTGACATTTCTGTATTCCTGCTTTCAACTGTAGAGTTTATCAAGGAGTGCTGAGTTTCTGGGAAATATAAATTTGTTTTAGACGAAGTGCAAGGCTGAGGAAAATGATCATTTTCTACATTTGCCACACTCATGGAATCCATTCTGAAGATACAGATTTCATCATCCTTGTACCCAATTTCCACTGTTGATATTTCTGGAGATTTTGTGTCATTCCTTTCCGATATCAAGCTCTGTGCTGCAGGGTGTGGGCCATCCGCATCCTCCTGTTTCACGGGGTATTCTTCGTTCTCTGGGCTGTCTTCAGAGATCTCGATTATTTCACAATCTTTTTCTAAAACCTCATCCCCGCTCCTTAGTTCAGCATCCGAGGAGTGGCACCCCTCAGCAGCCTGGGTACTGCTCTCCATAGAAGCGTCGATCTCCAAGTACTTAGACAAAGCCTCGGTGCACTTCTCCACAATGTGAACCATCTGCAGGTAACTCGCGGCCGTCAGGTACTTCAGCAGCTCCTTCTTCTTGACTTCCAGCGCGCCCGTGTAGCAGGACAGCAGCAGCTTCCTGCCCACCTCGGCGCTCTGCAGGATGGTGATCCGCACCTGCCTGGACTGGTTGAGCAGGAACTGATCCCGCATGAAGGTGGAGCAGGCGGCGAAGATCACCTTGTGTCCCTGGAACTCGGTGTCGTTGATGTAGATGGACACGTCGCAGAAGAGGTTCTGCTGCCGCAGGAGGTTCATTTTTTGCAGCACGGCATCGCCCTGCTGCTCGAACTGGAAGTGCAGCACCTCCGAGTCCGCCG